CAGAATACAGTTAGATCACTGAAAACATTTTTATTCTTTAAACACAAGATACATAAATTCTTTATCTTATAAAATAAAGAAAAGCGAATTTTTTCTTTCTAAATGCTACAGATCAATTAAATAATAAAGACAGATTTCTTTTCCTGAAAATCTGTACTTTTATTTCGATATAGATGCCCTCAAAAAGCTGCAGTATCACATATACAAATGAAATATATACATAAGCTTTTATGCACACATCTTTTCATATTTCCCCATGTAATAAAATTTAACAGAAAAATCAACAAATACATCATTTTCATCGATTTCAAGGGTAATTAATCGATGAAAGTCCAGAAATGTTGATTTTTTTCAATTAAATTGAAGATTATAATCGATTTCCTTGCATAATTGATTCAGAATCGATGGTTTTTCATCAATTATCATCAATTTTTTTCATTGGAACTGAATAAAATCGATTATAACCAACTATAATCGGTTTGCTACGATTTTTGATTAATCAATTAGAATCAATTTTTAAAGATAATCAATTTTAATCAGTATTTGATGATTTTTTGATCGTTTAAAATCAATTATCAAGGATTATAATCTACTAAAATCGATTAAGTATTCGAATCGATTATAATCATGAATCTCAGACTCATCTAAGATCCAATGACACTGATTGTAATCTAACAAAATCGATTAAGTTTTCAAATCGATTAATAAAATGAGGGAAAAATGTTATGGAATTTCACACGGGTAGCAGAGTTAGCTGACCACGCCCTATAGGGGTTAGAAATACATATAGGGGTTAGGAATAGGTAGAGGGTTAGAAATAGATAGGTATAAGGATTAGAAATAGATATAGGGGTTAGGAAAGGTATAAGGGTTAGAAATAGGTATAGGGATTAAAAATAGATGTAGGGGTTAAGCATAGGTATGGGGCTAGAATAGATGTAGGGGTTAGGAATAGATAGATATAAGGAGGTTAGGAATACGTGAACGGGTTAGAAATAGATGTAGGGGTTAGGAATAGGTATAGGGGATTTACTAGATTTTAATTGATTCCGAGTGAATTTTAATCGATTTCCAATTGATTGTTAATTGGTTCCTAATCGATTATTAATCAATTAAAATCATACACCTTTTACTCGATTAACAATCAAGTTGGAATGGATTATTAATCAAACTTAATCAATTTTAATCGATTAGCAGTAGGAGATCAATGTTTTATTGGGCTAGTATTTATCTGAGCAATAAAAATATCCGAATGAGCAATAATTAAAACACGATTTAGCAATAATTTGTGAGCAATAAAAAACTTTATTTGGACAATTTTATATTACTAAACGTGCATTAGTTAATTCATTAAATAGCAGTAGTGATTTCATATTTTAACAATAAAAAAAGAAAAGCTACATTATTTTTAGTTAGAATTGAAAATAAAAAAAAACAAAGAAAAATGCCAATATAGTATACTATTGTACCAAGAAAGCTTTTTTTGCTTTAAACGGTCTTCCTCTTTTTCTTTTCATAACAATTTCCACATTTATTTCACTATGATATAAAAGATGAATACTAGCTTGACACTGTTTTCTAGATCGTTTTACTTGATTACATCTGTAATAAACCTGTTTCACTTCGCTGGTTATATTTGTTTGAAGTTTGCTCAATATATCATCAGTTTTTATTTGACTATTACCCTCATCTTTATTGTTGTATGTGCATATTCGAACCTATTTTCTTCTATTTTGTTTTGTTTGTTTATTAACCTCTTCAGTATTATTAGAAGACTCCAGTTCCATATTATTGTCACTTTCATTATCAGAACTATATTGCGCTACGCGTGGTAATTGACCCATTTGTATAAACCATATATTTTATTTTATAAAATTGATAAAACACGTATTTGTTAAAGGGGAATTCGATCTAACTGATTGATATCACATGTCTGTCTTTTATTTTCCAAATGGACACAATATGTATGCGAATATAATAGGAAAAAGCAAAGATAACAGAAAAAAAACTACACTGAGAGGGAAAACTACCTGAATAAGTGAACGTTTGGAAAATACCTGAACGAAAAGGAAAACAAAAAAAAAAGACGAGAAAAGAATGCATATATGTATGTCGTGGGGTGGGTGTGGGTGGGTGTGAGTGTGGGTGTGGGTGTGGGTGTGGGTGGGTGTGGGTGTGGGTGTGGGTGTGGGTGTGGGTGTGGGTGGGTGGGGTGTGGGTGTGGGTGTGGGTTTTATTCTCTTTGACACCCACACCTACACCCACACCCACACCCACACCCACCCACACCCACACACACCCACCCCCCCCCCACACCCACCACCACACCCACACCCCACACCCACACCCACACCCACACTCACACACCCACACCCTGCTGATCTCTACTGTCAGCAATTGGACCGATTTTCAGCAAAGCTCCAGGGACAGCAGGATAAGATTTATTTTTTATATAACAACACCAGACCTCACATTGCAAAGTCAACGCATAGAAAAGTATTGGAGCTCGGATGGAATGTGATTCTACATACACCATATTCTTCAGACTTGACTCTCACTGACTACCATCTGTTCCGTTCTCTTTCGGATCATTTGTGTGAAAAAAAAATTCGACTACGAACACGACCTAAACGTGGACCTCGGCAACTTCTGCAGCCAAAAGCTCCAGAAGTTCTACGCACGTGGGATCCTTTCTCTTCCAAAGCGTTGGCGGCAAGTCATAGATAGTGATGGAGCATACATTATTAAAACTTAGTTGTGTTTTTGTAGTAAAAAAATAAAATGAAATTTAAAAAAAAAACGCAAAAACTTTATTGCCAACCCAATATTAATAGCTGCAGCTGTGGACAGAACGCTGACTTGCCTCAGAGTCCTTCCACTCAATTGTTCGAGCTACTCGTAGACACTAACTAATCATACACTAGCCACAATAGCTAGAGTATGTCACAACGAAGTCAGTATACTATCGTATAGACGATACGAGACAAACATCCATTATTGACTTTTTCGAATCATTCTATGCTTGATGGGATAGAGACTCGGATACAGCATCTTATAATACGTTTCAGACAACTTGACCATTCAGCCATAGTGGCCAGACAGACAAACTGGTTCATTATCGAGATATGGATCAGCAAAAGAACACAAAAATGAGCTTAAGTAGACGAACAAAAAAAATGACAAAATCCTTAGTTTTCGTTGCCCGAATATATTGAATAATTCACTGTAGCGATGCAATGCACAGTAGGTCTACTGAAGAAGATTAGCCACTAGTTGCCTCTGACATTGAATGTTTAGGCATTTAGAAAAATAATTTTTACGATTTAGATAAACTTGAGGGATATTGTGATTATATCCATCCATCTTCTCAATGAGAAGATATTTTGCCTTATGAATCAAGAATACGTGTTGAAATGTTCTGTACTAATTATCGAATTGTTAAAACATTTTATATCGCTACTAAAAGTTAACCCTTCACGAAATATTGACTTAATATTGCCAAATGACAACATTCGACTGGAAAAGTTAATTAGTTAGAATTTAAACGAAACATTAAAGAAAACTCTTGGGTGTGGGTGTGGGTGTTAGTCAAGCTAACAGTAACACCCACACCTGGATGTTCTTTTATTTATTAAGTTTTGATTAGTTGGTATTATAGAATTAATCATTAATTTAATAAAAAACAAACAAGCTTTTTGCACACGTTTATTAACGGATGACTCATAATAAATGGCAGAACGTTGTGTTACATATTTTGACCTCTAGATGCCTTTCATTAAAGAACAAACAAAATATATCATAAGATACAGCGTGAAAAGTTTTACGCTTTATCTTGTGGTGTATTTTGTTTTTTTTAATACAATCTATTTATTGGTTACAATATGAAACGCAAAATTCTGCCATTTATTATTGGTCACCCATTAGTTCTTCATTATATATGAAAGTTCGAAAGTAATTTAATCATGTTTTTTTTTACTAGCCATATCTAACTTATGGAAAATCAAAATATTATCCCTGATAAAGATTGTATAATCTTTTACCTGTGCAAAAAATACGAGTTCGAGTTTTTTTCACGAAGATTCTAGAATACTTCAGAACCTTCTAAGTTTATCTATGATTACTAAGGTTCGTATTGGAAGAGTCTATAAGAATGAATGGGACGAGTTCGATAAAAAAATCTTGATTTAAAAGTACACTCAGTATGATTTTTTTTTTGAAAATATACATAAATTCCACAAAATGATATCATTTGACGCCAAAATTGGAAAAAAAAACCTATTTTTTCCTTATATTCGGTCTTGAAAGTTATTAAAAACAATAGTTTCCGTAAATTTCAACATCTCGAGATTTTATGATTTATTCTTTGTCAGATTTTCTAATAAATATTCATTTAATGTGAATGATTATTTTCAATTTACTGCAATTATAAATCATAAATATATCTATTGAAAGTTCAATCTCTGATTTATTTATTAATTAAATTACAAAGCTATGATTATCATATATAACAAGAAAATAAATAAATAGAACAAGTCATACAAAAAACTAAATTTTTACCACCATAAATGTAAATTGTTATTAATGTATTGAATAGAGTAATTATCAAGTAAATTCTCTAATTTAATTAAATCTTTTATTTCTTTTAAATATTCTTCTGGAATTTGTGAAATGCATAAATAAAATAAGTGTTGTGCTTGATTATGAGTTTTTGATAATAAATATCGAATTATTGATGATATTTCTGTTGTACTATTTATTCGAATTTTAAGATATTTTAATTTCGAAAATACATAAACAATGAATCGAATTTGATTCAATGAACAATCACCAGTAAGAAGTAAATTTTCAATTTTATTTTTTTTTAATACATGTTGTAAAAGTATATTGTATTTAGTGGAATTTGAATCAATCTCCTGCAAAGAATATGCATTAAATCGTAATGTGTATAAATTAGGTGTTAAACGTAATAATTTAATAATTTCTTCGAATGGAAAACCCCAAATATTAATATCTAATTTTGTAAGTTGTTTTAAAGAAATCATACACTCTAGATTTGTTATAAATGAATAATCATCTAATTTTTCAACATAACAACTAATAGTTAATTGAATAACATTTGGAAAATAATTTTGACGATTTAATTTTCTTCCACACGCAATATAAAGATGTTTGACTGATTTTGAATTTTCTCTTTGATGATTTAAATCAAGTTCTTCATCTATCTCCCAATTATATGTATAATCTTTTCTTCTAAATAAATGAAATAAAGAATAATCTATAATGATAAACGAGTAATTATTTTCGATAGAAAGCTATTATAAGAAAATATTTTCCTTCAGTAGTTTTTCTATTGAATGAAAAACGAAATTCGACATAACTATCTTATTCCTTTTGTATAATAGATTAATTTCTACTTACCGATATGGACGAATTGAATAAAAATGTCCAGTATTGAATCCGTGTTCCAGTTTATGCTGATGTGTAAAAAACCATTTCTTTTCATTCTAAAACGAAGAATTAAATTGATTAATTATATCATGATCTTTTAGCTTGTTATCGGTTAGAAAACATTGATGATGAATATCAAATATACGTAAATATGGTATATGAAATAAGATTAATTGTTGCCACCGTTTAGCATCTAAATATTTTTCATCACACGATGTTGTAAGACGTAAAATTTGAATATGATGAAAAAATTCTTTGATAATTTTCTCAAATTCATCAAAACATACGAAATTAAGTTTAAGAGAAACATGTTTTAAATATTTTAATTGAATAGAAGATGATTTGTTTCTTTTTTGATAACCATAGTGAGTATCAAAATGATTAATTGATAAATGTTGAAGTTTAGGAAGACAACATAATAAATTATGAAATGCACTAAATGGGAAAGAACCCTTTATTATTAAATATTCTATTGAACTAGAATCATAATTAGTAAAATCAATAGATAATAATTGTTGATATTCAATTTTAAAATATTTTAATGTCGATAAACGAAATATTTGAGAAAAAATAATATCTAATGATGAAATATCTTGAACAAAAAAAATAGTTATTGCATGAAGAGTAGTTAAACATATTAAATAATCAAAGAATTTGTTAAAATTTTTTTCTTGTACATAATCAAGAATTATTGTTTCAAGACGAATAAAATTTAAAATCAAACGTGGTTCGGAGAAAATAATCTCGGCAACAAATGGATTTGATAAACGAAGAAAATTAATTTGACTTTGATTTGGTATAAGTATATTATGATAATAATCTTCGAAATTTGATTTTGATATTGTTGAAATATTGATTTTAGTTAAAATATTTGAATTAATAGCTAAATTTTGAAATCGATTATTAAGATTATAAAATCCTTTGTAAATATCATATCCATTAAGATATCCAAATATTTCATAAAGAATTTCATTAGCTAAGTCTTCAAGACAATATCTAAATAAAAGTAAAAGATTATATTATATTTATATGATAAAATAGATATATCTAACTTGTTCGAATTGATTGTTGTTACTAAAACAACAAACAGAGAAAATTAGATTTAATAAATGTTAACATAAAATATTACTTTGATTTCCTAATTTTTGTTTTTTATTACTATTCGAAATTTGAACCATATCATTCTTTTGCCGTTTTGTTCGTTGCATGTTTAAGATAATTGAATGACGATGATACTGATCGAGAACGAATATATAGACATGAGCAACAATAAACACATTGTCTTTTCTCTTCTTTAAAACACAGCAGACGCCGAGAACGATATGGCTCCGAACAGACTGAAAAAAATAAAACAAATTAAGCAACCTGATTGGTCTATTTCGATTTAAATCGTCTTTTTAAGACGATTTATTCGTTAATTCAGTTTTAATTCACTTTGAATTAGTCGGTCTGTTTGGAACCTATGTTACTTTGTATTGAAAAGACAATGATTTTATGGTACAAGAATCGTAGTCAAACAATTTGAAAAATCATCCTGTAATAGGTTTTTTGTTGATACAATGAAAAAATTATTCCAGGGAAAACCATTGAATTTTCTGTTTTTTCGTTTATTTATTTTTGCCGCTACATGTTGTTTATATACAAGTCAGTTCAAACAAATCGCAACTGACTGTGCTAACCTGATAATGACTGTTTGGACATATAATTATCATTTCTGTACTTCTGCTGTTTCTTTTTGTTTTCTTCATTCTTTGACTCTGTTTTGAGTTTAATTCATTTTTTCAAAAGAATATGAAAGATATTGAAGATGTAGTTGGATACATAACTATAATGATGAAGAGCAAATCTGCTTCCACATTGAAAATTGGATACTTTTGTTTTCTTCAATTCAAACATAACAATATAATAAGACTTTTGATATTTGCCACTTTCTGTTCTCATTCTAATCTGTTTATGATAAAAATGTCATCTCTTCTAGTTGAATATTGATCAAATCAGGGTTGTCACCTTTTCTACTTTCTGTATTGCTTCTTATTATTTAAAATAATTATTTTTATTATGAAGATTGACATTAAAAGTTTCTCACAAAATTTTATAGAATTCGATTTTAAAATTTTGTTTTAGATATATTTCAATAAAAGGTCTAAAAAGTAAAGATATACAAAAAAGTTTTTAAAACTAAATATGAAAATTTCTTGTGATCTAAATAAATCGATTTCCAATTGAGCCATAAAAATAATGAAAAAAAAAATAGACTCTAATAATTTGTTATACTCTTCCGATCTTTCAAGCATATAGTAAAAGTTTTAGCTGATCGTCGAATTTCCCTAATTTATAACTCTTGGATGTTGTTTTTAAATATAAATTACTGAAGAATTCTATTATCAGAAAGATAATTTTAATGCATAAATAAAAATATTCTGTCAAAATAAAGAGTTTCAAATGAAATATTTCAATAAAAAAAATCATCTTCTATTAAATTAAAAAATTTAAAATCTGAACAATATGACATATCTTTAAGTTTTGCTTTCTGAATTTTGTAGCAACGATCACAAAGATTTTTTGTTTTGAAAACAAAGCCATAAA